CATGCTGTCACCCAGGTTAGAGTGCAGTGACGATCTTGGCTCACTGCAACCTCTGCCCCCTGGGTTCAAGCAGTTCTTCTGCCTCGGCCTCACTAGTAGCTGGGATTACAGGTGTGCGCTGCCACACTTGGCTAATTTTGTATTTTTAGTAGAGATGAGGTTTCACCATATTGGTCAGGCTAGTCTCGAGCTCCCAACCTCAAGTGATCCGCTGGCCTCAGCCTCCCAAAGTGCAGAGATTACAGACGTGAGCCACCGTGCCAGCCAATTGCTGAAATTTATTTCCCTATACATAGTCCTATCTTCTTTATTATCCCTATATAAATACATTTTTTCTTAGTGACCAACAGCTAAGTATAGAAAAATGTGGGCCTAAAGAGTTGAGAATCCTAGGAATGCTGTCCTAGCTTTCTAGTGCTCTTTCCCCAGCCTTTCTGACCCCGGTCTCTTGAGCCTGCCATCCTTGACTGTCAGGAAAGCAGGACGTCTTCCCTTCTTGATGTGTTCTGTACAGTGTTTGCGTTTTATAATATTTTCCTTACAAATATCTTTTAGGTAAATTGTGGATTAGGTGGGCTGGAGGGGTTATGCTGTTTATGTGCAGGGGTGGCCAGAAGTCCAGGTGTGCCTGAGAGTCCTAGTGGAGGCTTTGCATTCTGAGCTCCCTTTCACATGGTGTCCTGTTTCGGATTATAAATTATATGGTCCTCCTATATGAGGAAATCCATTCTGAGTGCCAGGCGACTAAACTTCAGTGAGAGCACAGTTGTTGAACACTCATTTGTAAGTTGGAGATTTTTGGAAAATCCATGTGAAATTGGACTACAGGATGTGTTCTTTTTTCATCAACTATTGGGGGGTGGAGGGAAGCCCAGCTGGAAGCCTAGGGAGTGCTAGTATGTGCATGGGAGGAGAGAGGGTTCTTTTAGGGTTAGGAGAGGGAGGAAGTGTGAGGTTTCCAAATTGATTTTTAACCTTAACCTTGGTCACTGGCAAAACTGGCTAGCTGCTTCTTGAAAACATGCTGCTGCATTTCTCTCCCTCCTTGTTCCAGTCTTTAGTCCCCTACTGAGCGAAGACTTCTAGTAACCCAGTTCTGTGCAAGTCCTTTGGATTGACCATGTTGAGTGTTCACTTCCCCTTCACCATATTCTTGTAGCAGTTCTTGTCTCTACAGACATTTGGCCCTGAGTCCAAGATGTAGAATAACTACGTATTTTTATCAATGTGATTGTCTGCTCAGTATCTTGGAATTCAAGGACAAAGTCCTGCGTGTTTTTCCCCAACACCTATCATAGTGCATCATCCTGAAGCATGAAACACGCTTGTTGGCAACACACAGATCTCAAGTGACTGCAGCAGCTCGTGGTGTCCTTGGAGCACTCCCTCCTTATGCCTTATTGAAAACAGTTTTGAGGTCTGATAAGTTTAGAAAAGGCAGCATATATTAATCTTCTTTTGGAAATTCATACTTCGAGTATGGAATTCCTGTTCCCACCCCACTCATTTCTCTTTCCTTAAAACATTCCATGTAATCCTTTGGAAAATACTGGCCTTAGCCTTTACTATGACTTGAAACTCCAATTCTGGGCCACCACCATGCCTTTGGTTCTCTCCCAGCCAGGTCTTTCCCACTGCTCCTGAATATGCCATGCTGATGCCAGATTCCACACCTTTATGCAGATTACTCAGTTATTGGGAATGCTGCTTTTCTCAGGTTTAAGTGACTTGCTGTTTTAAGGCTTTTCCCAGATCATCTCATGTTTGCATTTGGTTATATATTGTACTGTTTACATAGCAAACATACGCCTTCCTCTCAGACACACTGCCCTCTCATAGCACTTAACTGTAACATCTTGGAACCTGGCAGATAACAGACCCTGACTTATGATTTAACTAAGAATACTGGGCAGGGTTCAAAAAAATAATTGCAGTATGTAATGGTAAGTAGAGACATTTAAGAAAGTGTTATTTATGAATAAGTAGGTGTGGCTCAGGTTTACTTGCCCAAGTGTATTTAAAACTAGGGAATTGGATATGTCAGATAATTCTACCACTTGACCAAAGCAAATTTTGTATTTTATGGTTAACAGCATTTTTCAATGTTAGCAAATTAAATTAATGGCCCAAATTTTCTTTTATGAAACAGACTAACTACAGCTGTTGATCTACCTCCTGAGTTTATTCACCTTTATATATCAAATTGCATCTCTACTTGTGAACAAATTAAGGATAAATATATGCAGGTAATAGAAATTTTTGTAAATTTTATAAACACCTGCCAGGTAAATGAGAACACTAACATTTTTTTTTCCTTTTTCAGAATCGGTTGGTTCGTCTTGTGTGTGTGTTTCTCCAATCCTTGATCCGTAACAAAATTATTAATGTACAGGATTTGTTTATAGAAGTGCAGGCATTCTGTATTGAATTCAGTAGGATACGAGAAGCTGCTGGTCTTTTCCGGTTGTTGAAGACACTGGATACCGGGGAAACACCTTCTGAGACCAAAATGTCAAAATAATACCTCTTCAGAACCATCCCATTTGTTCACTGTTCAGCTGTACTATGATTTAGTTTTTACACCGTTAAAACCCTGAGTGGATTGCTTGGTCTAATGCATAGAAACAATACTTGATCTACTTTTAAAGTTTTGCTTTCTTGGATGACTTTTTCTGGGAGATGAATTTTTGATAAGAACTGGAGAAAACGTGGCTTTTAGGTTCTTGCTGATAGCAATCCATAGGAGGAATGTCTATCCCAAAAAAAGTTGCTACAGAAAAGTAGTTTTTTTTTTAAGCACTAAAGGACAAAATGCATTTTTCATTAATACAGGCTTCTGATGAACCCAGGAATCCAGTTTTCATAAAGTTCCGATGTTGAAAATACTTTAGAGTAAATTCTTAAGCATTTGTGATACTGTCCTTGAGGTGAAAGCAGCTGAATGTTCCTGAACCATCAAGAGGCAAACAGGAGTTTGGTTCTTGAACCTGCTTATGGACACAGCTCTTAACTCCTCATGAGGCACAGTATGAACAAAGGATTTACTTACAACTTTCTCCTTGTCCTGGAGGCTTACTACACAACAGAATAAATGCATTTCTTGGGCCTCTTACAAACTTGGGAGCTCTTAGAAAGCTGCTTCTGTTAACAGGCTGTAATAGCTGGTATGGTCTTTTTTGTTTTTTCTCTTAGGATGTTCTTAGTCAGAGATGGCCATTTTTTTTTGTTTTAAGTAAAAACATCAGTCAGTGTTCTGGGAGGTAATTTCCTGTGGGGTCTGCACCCTCCTGTCTGGGTGGTAGATGTGGGTTTGAGAAGTAGAGCAGGTGGTACCGTGTGGGCTCTTACCCCTTACATAATTTTGGACAACAGTGCCTTCCATTAAAGTTCTTTTTATCAACTCTGTTATCTGGTATGTTTTTTTATTTTAAGAAATCATGAGAAATTCCTTTTCCTGAGGCACTTCCAAAGCATATTTACAGGGAGATAATCTGTTCAACAGGAATTACTAACACTTTGAAACAGTTAAAGGAAACCAAGCCTAGTGATTTTAAGATGTAAAGTAAAACCTCTAATCTTAAAACACTGAAGAAAGAGCAGTACTAAAGATTTGTAACAAATTCTTAGTTTTTCTTAGAAATATTTAAGAATGTTTGCTTAGAGAAAATAATAAGCCCATCTATCAGAAGAATGCCTTCAGACAAAATGATGGCAACAAATGATTTCTTTCTATGCTTAAAAGCAAGCAGCTGCATTTTATACCTTAGCATTGGGAAAAAATAGCTTATTGAAGTACTTTCAGAGTGGCAGTTTCAACAACCCAGCCTTAGGTTCGAGGGCCTCCTGATTCTCTGGCGTCGTAAAACATTGAACTAACAGCCAACAGCACCATCACTCATGCCTGAATGAAGCTGATGTAACAACCAGACACTTGGTCCATGAGGCATATCACAGTCTTGTTGCCCTTAAAACAACAGGCAATACTTTGCTATACCTGGGGGCCATTTTAAATAGTGAAATCACCAACAAAAGGTGCAAAAATGCAAAGAATTCGGTACTTAAGAGATTAGGAAAGAACACTTGTAGTAGGAGAGGAAACAAGGCAGAGAATCTGCTCTTTCATCCTCGGTAAGGAACGTGCGTGTCAGGCAACTTGGCTCATTCACTGCTCTGTGCATGTCTGAAAATGACTGCATGTGATGATTTTGTTTGGAGTTACAAATTTTAGTGAGTAAGCAAGTTCTCAAATGGACTTCGTAAGTGACGATCAAAATCACAATACTGGTGTTTACTTGAAAGACTTTAAATAGCTTACAAAGAATAGTGGTAACATTTATAGAACACTTTACAAAACAGTCGAGATTTACACTTGTAACACCAACAAAAGCTTCTTCAAAATAAAAGTTTACCTAAAGTAAAAAAAATTGCTGGCTGGGTTTAGTGCATCACACCTGTAATTCCCAGCACTTTCGGAGGCCAAGATGGGAGGATCACCTGAGTTCAAGACCAGCCTGTAGGACATAGTGAGACCTCATGTATACTGAAAACAAAACAAAAATTAACAGGGTGTGGCATGCACCTGTAATCCCAGCTACTCTGGAGGCTGAGGTGGGAGGATTTCTTGAGCCTGGGAGATTGAGGCTGCAGTGAGATACAATGGTACCACTAAACAGATTCAATAACTGCAATAAACTTTTTTTTTTTTTTTTTTTTGAGACGGAGTTTCGCTCTTGTTACCCAGGCTGGAGTGCAATGGCACGATCTCGGCTCACCGCAACCTCCGCCTCCTGGGTTCAGGCAATTCTCCTGCCTCAACCTCCTGAGTAGCTGGGATTACAGGCATGCGCCACCACGCCCAGCTAATGTTTTGTATTTTTAGTAGAGACGGGGTTTTCACCATGTTGACCAGGATGGTCTCGATCTCTTGACCTCGTGATCCACCCACCTCGGCCTCCCAAAGTGCTGGGATTACAGGCTTGAGCCACTGCCGCCTGGCTAACTGCAATAAGCTTTTAAGTATAATCAAATGAGTTCAACTGTCACGTTAAGACACCTTGGATTCTTGGGATTTTCTAGTTCCAATTTCTAGCTTCAAAATCTTCAAATCACCTGTTAAAAAGAAGACAGCAATAAGTAACAGGGTAGAAAGCAGTTATTTCAAAAATAGTTTGGGATTCTAAAATATAACTATTACAAATAACAGTGTTTCTTTATTTAGAAAGCTTTAAAGAAATACCAGTTTTTACTCTTCTAATGTACATATACATTTACACCTAATTTTAAGTAGCACATTTAATGACTGACATTTTCTTGATGATGGTTACATGTCTCTTTTAAACAGTATTTTGAATGATATTCCTTAAACATTTTAAGGGTATCTGGAAAATTAATGCATAGGAAGAACTTTTTACACATTTATTAAAATTCCAGCACCCTCTATTAAGATATTTTACTGATTTCACTTTACATCTTGTCTGTTGTTTTTATGCAATCGCTACTGTTCTTATCAGGAAAATCCCCAAGACACTTCCAAGAGTACCTGTATAATCCTGGATCTGATACCTGCAATCAGTCCACACAAAATCCTGGTGTTCCCAGGCTTCTCACTAGCCCATAATACAACCCTACAACTCAGCAAAAAAAAAAAAAAAGCATGGGTTGGCTTTTTTTCCTAATATTTAAATGAATGTAGTGCCAACACTTTTCTTCACAACTTCGCTATAGAAAAGAGGGCAAGTCTCCAGCTGCATGGCTGATTATGACACCATAAAAATTTCACTTTTGTAACTGGTAATCCAAATGTTAGTGTTTTTGAAAATATGGTGACAAGTGTTTGTGGGTTTTGAGACGGAGTCTCACTCTATCGCCAGGCTGGAGTGCAGTGGTGTGATCCCGACTCACTGCAACTTCCATTTTCCAGTTTCAAGCAATTCTCCTGTCTCAGCCGCCTGAGTAGCTGGGATTACAGGCATGCATCACCACATCTGGCTAATTTTTTTGTGTGTTTTTAGTAGAGACAGGGTCTCACACCATGCTGGCCAGGATGGTCTCTATCTCTTGACCTCGTGATCCACCTGCCTCGGCCTCCCGAAGTGCTGGGATTACAAGCATGAGCATCGTGCCCAGCCGACAGGTGTTTTTAAAAAAAACTTTTAAAACTAAATTAGCTGGGAATGTCGTAGGTGGCTTTTCTAATTGACTATTAAGTCACACATACATTAACTACAGAACTAGTTTTGGTTTGAGTCAACATCCTGTGCTTTAGTAAATCACAAAGTAGGATTTATACCAAGCCCACAGAAACTGCTTTTGACTAAAACATATAATTACCTCAAGTTCTAGTTAGTAATACATATATACTGACATAATTTCAGCCTTCATTGAGCAAATAAACTTGAACGTGCTCAAAGGAAGAGACTATTGCCAAATTAAGCTATCTTACTGGGGAATTTGGTTACATTGGGTATTTCATCCCCACTATATGGGAACAATCACCTATTCCTGAAGGTCTATTATGATTTTTAAATCGCTCAGTTATCTTTGGGATGCCTTTCTTGACCACTCCCATGGCACAAAGCTTCCAGTCCTGTTACTGAGGTCAGACTATTGGTTCGCTTCAGGATATTTTGTCATTGTGTGCCCATAGAGAGAGCAAACTGCTGATGGAGACACTGCAATTCGGCCTTTTCTTGTCATCATTCCTCAGTAGCTGGAGGGAGCAGTCTTTTGGGAAAGGCTGTGTGTTCAAGACAGTACATGGGGAAATTATTACCTGCCGAGTGGTGTGTGTTTTTAGACCTCTCTGGCCCTTTGGTTTTCTGCTGGGAAGGAAACCCAGAGTGCCGGTCCAGACACTGAGGAGTAGAAGAAGCAGGACAGCAGGAAGGGGCCTGTGGAGAGTGGCACAGTCACGGACACTGCCTCCTTTGCCACGCCACCCGTGGTTTCCACAGTGAAATACTGGTCTATAGTACATGTGAACACATGGCTCTTATGACAAATGTTAGGGGGAGAGTGATTTGTGTGGTAAATAATCTAACTAAATGAAATCTGATTTACTATACATTCCCCCAATTCTCTGCATCTTATCAACTTAAAAGTTTTAGTAGAAACCCTCATAATAGTTGGCCCTTCCTTTTTTTTTTTTTTTTTTTTTGACAGGGTCTCACTCTTGCCCGGGTTGGAGTACAGCGGTGATCACAGCTCACTGCAGCCTTGACCTCTTGGGCTCCAGCGATCCTCCCACCTCAGCTTCCCAAGTAGCTGTGGCTATAGGCAGGTGCCACCATGTCCAGCTAAATTTTTAAATTTTTAGTAGCAATGGAGTTTTGCCGTGTTGTTCAGGCTAGTCTTGAATTCCTGGGCTCAAGGGATCCTTCCATCTTGGCCTCCCACTGTTGGTGTTAAAAGCATGCACCACCACATCGGGCCTGTCACTTCTTTATCATGTTAATTTCCATCTAAGAAAACTTCTATCAACGAAAACTATTTCCTTTCAAAGTTCTGAAGAGTTTTCTTCTCTTGCTAATTTCTTTTTTGCTACTAAAGACTTGTTTCTAGAGACATGACTGTAATTATTCCAACCACTTCAATTTATAATTTAGTGTTCGAGCTTTTAAATTAAGGAACATTATGTTTGAGAGCTGATTACGAAATCACACTTCTGTAATTATCAAAAACGATTTACCTTGGTCTGTCACAGTATTTTTTTTTTTTTTAAGATGAACACAAGTCAAATTAATTACAGTTGTTCACAATCAGCAATGTGATCATCTCGCCGATTGCTGATCTTGCCTTTCCTGGACCTAAAGTGCTCCATGGCCTCCACAATATTCATGCCATCTTTCACCTTGCCAAAGACCACATGCTTGCCATCCAACCACTCAGTCTCGGAGTCTTGGCTGTACAGATAAAAAACTGGGAAGTGTTCATGCTGCGTCCAGCATTTGCCATGGACAAGAAGCCAGGACCTGTATGCTTAGGATGAAGTTCCTGTCATCAAATTTCTCCCTGCAGATGGACTCACCACCAATGCTGTTATGGCATGTGGAGTCACCACTCTGACATAGAAACCCTGGAATAATTCTGTGAAAGCAGGAACCCTTATAACCAAATCCTTTTTCCCCAATGCTCAGAGCACGGAAGTTTTCTGCTGTCTTTGGAACCTTGTCTGCAAAAAACAGCTCCAATCTGTTAACATAGTTTCGTGGATTAGATGAGCAGTCACTTCTTGACTTCCAGGCCCCTTACCTTGAAGGAGACACAGCCCAAGTGCTCATCATCCACGGCAATGTCGAAGAACATGGTGGGGTTGACCATGGCTGGAAGCAGGGGGCTCCGGGCAGCAGCGGCAGCATCTGCAAAGCTCACAGCCTTCCATTTAAAAGTCAGCTTCATTAGCTACTGGGAAGAATGACTAATTGAAACATTTTCCCCTAGTTTTTCTTAAAAGACAAAGAGCAAACAACTTACTTGCTACAGAATCAGGATATTTTCCTATTTATATTAAACTACAGAAGATAGATTTCAAAGGTAATGGCTGTTATAGAAACCTACCTGAGGCTGTCTGCTAAAATAAACTTTTTGTGCAAAGCAAAATAAATTTTCTACTTTACTAGCTCCTCATACTGCATCTATCTATAGAGTTTATTTCAGTAAAACTGTTTACTTACTATTTCACAATGGGTAGCTAGAATCAAAGCATTAAGTGGCTTCAGAAAATAATCTATATAAATCCTTATATCCAAGCCAGGCGCGGTGGCTCAAGCCTGTAATCCCAGCACTTTGAGAGGCTGAGGTGGGTGGATCACAAGGTCAAGAGATCGAGACCATCCTGGTCAACATGGTGAAACCCCGTCTCTACTAAAACTACAAAAAATTAGCTGGGCATGGTGGTGCGTGTCTGTAGTCCCAGCTACTCAGGAGGCTGAGGCAGGAGAATTGCCTGAACCCAGGAGGCGGAGGTTGCGGTGAGCCGAGATCGCGCCATTGCACTCCAGCCTGGGTAACAAGAGCGAAACTCCGTCTCAAAAAAATAAAATAAAATAAATAATAATAATAATAATAATCCTTATATCCTACCTATGGCTATAAGAATAAATTTACAATTTTAAAACTTTTTTCAATAAACATTTTTATCTACAATGTAAAAACATACAGAGCAATAAAAGACAATTCCACATTCTAAAAAGTAACTGCCTCATACTCCTTGACTTCTACACCCTGAGAAAACAGCAGGGTGTGTGTGTGTGTTAATCACTTTCTAATACTTAGCAGTTTCCAAAAGTTTTGCATTAGCCTTCTCCCTTGACCCAGAAGAACAGCAAACAAGTAAAAAAGAAGAAATGGTTAGGGAAGGTCATGGTATGAAATGTGCTTAAACACGAATCAAGAAAAGTGGTTATTTCTTGTCAACACAAAATTACAATTCTACATCTATCGCCCTTTTAGTTTTAAAGATTAAATTGTAACTCAAACCAATATAACGGATTTTTAGTCTGCCTACTCATTTTCCTTAACAAGGCAATGAAGAACGTAATGCTCACATGCAATATAGAATCTTAGCTTTTTATTTGTAGGAAAAAATAAACAGATTTCCCTCCCCATCAAGGCATCACAAGAAGCGAGACAATAAAGGGAAAAATGCAAATCCTAAAGTCATCTAGTGCTTTTCTCATAATTCTAAACAACAAAGAAAAAGTGCTCTCAGGTTCTGAAATCTTCACATACAATACAGATGGGCAAGAAAGCTGCAGACATCTCAGTTACAAGTTTCAAGTTCTTAAAAAAAAAAAACTTTCCTCCAGGGAAAGCCCATGTGATCAATTATTGAATTGAATTATACAGTTCCACTTCAACTAGTCTAAAATTGATGTGCTTAGCCAAAAATAGAATTAACCTTTTTATACAGTACCATAGCAGCCAGTCTATTATTTAGAAACATCACCTGTCCTTTACATTAGAGTGCCTGCCCCAGTTGGCTTTATAATAGTCTGAAACAACACACTGTTCATAAACACTGTATTTTAGTAGATAAATATATGAAGACTAATCAAAGTCTCTTTAAGAATAAAATATCTTAGCCCTTTGTATATTAAATCAGAACCTAATAGGTAAATAATGTACACTATTTTCAAATATACAAATTATATGCTAAAGTAAAAAAAATAAAATGTCCTTTAGTTCAAGCCAAACTTCTGTCAGTGCTACTTCAGTGGGCACGTGCGCTAGGAGACGGGTCCTCCATGGCGAGAGTCACTCCTGCCAGCTTCTGCAAGAGAGCAACACAGCTACTCCATCAGGAGGAGAGTGCAGCATATTCCGAGCTTCAATTACATAAACACAGTTACTCACTTGGAGATAATTCAAGATGGTAAACAGAAAATTTTAAATGAAACATATATGCAAAACTGATAATCCATTCCATTGATAGCCAACAAGAAAAATCAGTAAACATCTTCCACATATAAGGGTTTTTCTAGCATTAGCCTAGCCAACATTAATCTCATCAGCAGATCAGTTTTTTAAAAACAGAGATGGTGGCACCAGATGTTCCCAAAAGTTGGAACAAGTAGCTAAGGTGATGGTGATACTGCTCCAATAAAAACAATAGCCAGTATTTACCAGGCACTATATATTATCCCTAAGAGGTAGAGATTAACGTGTCACCACTCCCGATGGTGGGGACGTGGGAGAATCTGGCTGCTTCAGAATGTATCTGACATTCTGCTGCTTTGTAAACCTAGCTGCTTCTTCTACCTTCATTTCTACCCATGATTTCAAATCAAATTATACTATCTTAGTTCTAAGAGGGCATTTCAGGACAGAAAATGGTCCGCTGTAATACACTGCAAGTTAATAAGGTAGCAAGAATGCAGAAAAATCTGGAGGCTGCTTTTGAAGGACATTTAGCAGAATAAGAGTCTTAGTATCTCAAGGGTGCTCCTGTACTAGAGAAGGCAAAGTTAGTTTTCTTTCTGGAGTTGGAAGGCAATGGCAAAAATCACACTGGTATGCACTCTGGCTCTACATAAAGAGATTCTTAAAATAAGAGCCATTTACCAACGGAACATGCTGCTTTGAAAGCTGACTGAGTTTTAGCTGGAGAACTGGTAAGGAGAATGCCTACACAGATCGATTGCTACAATTTTATAATTCTCTGAAATCTATTCTCCTTTTCCACAATGCATTCTTTTACTGGTTAATACTTACATTCTAATATTCCTATCTATTTTTGCCTTACAGATCCTAAATGTGCTACAAAGAAACGGACTTAGTTTGAATCCTACTGCTTTGGAAAAATATGCTTCCTCTTCCGGGATGATGAAATCCAAAATCTGAAGCATCAATTCTTCCCACTTAAAATAATCTTTAAATGAATCCAATTCCAATAAAAATTCTGATGATGTGATTCTCTTTTACTTGGTAAAATGATTTTAGAGTTAATCTTTAAAAAATGTAGAACAGGCCAGGTGTGGTGGCTCACACTTGTAATTCCAGTATGTTGGGAGGCCGAGGACAGTGGATCACCTGAGGCCAGGAGTAAGACCAGCCTGACCAACACAGTGAAATCCCTGTCTCTACTAAAAATACAAAAAATTAGCCAGGCATGGTGACATGTACCTGTAATCCCAGCTATTTGGAGGCTAAAGCAGGTGCATCACTTGAACCCAGGAGGCGGAGGCTGCAGTGAGCTATCGCGCCACTACACTCCAGACTGGCTGACAGAGCAAGACTCCATTTCTAACAATAATAATAATAATAACAATAATAATGTAATAATAATAGTAGTGATGATGTAGAGTAGCCCAGAAATTTTTTTAAAAGAAGAATAAAGATAAAGGAATTTGCCTTGCAAATATCAAAACATATTATTTGCAATTGTTCACTAAACAATATTAGGACAACTGATTAAACACTTAGGTTTAATAAGTGGAATAAAAAGAAAAAAAAAAGATTAAATCTCCCCTCACACCTTAAACTATATATATTAAGCCTTAAATGTAAAATACAAAACCCACAAATACGAGCAAAGTACAGGTCAATATCCTTATAATCCTAAGATAAGAAAGACCTTCCTAAGTCAGCATGCAATCAAAGGCAGAATCATGAGAGAACGGGAAACTAAACTATACAATTTCTGTCTGGAAAATACAGTGAAAAGTCAAAGGATACAGAAATGGGGGGAGAAATACACAAAATATATGACAGACCTTAGTATTTTCAGTGTATAAAAAACTCTTTAAGGATCAATATGAAAAATTACTATCTCCATAAAAAAGTAAGCTAAAGATAAAATAAGCAATTAATCAAAGAACAAAGATGACCAACAATGTGAAAAGAGGGTAGCCTCATCAGTAATAAAAAAAAATGCGATTAGTCTAGACAACATGGTGAGACTTCATTTCTACAAAACAATTTAAAAAGCTAGCTGGGACCAGGCGCAGTGGCTCACTCCTGTAATCCCAACACTTTGGGAGGCTTAGGTGACAGATCACGAGGTCAAGAGATCGAGACGATCCTGGCCAACATGGTGAAACCCCGTCTCTAATAAAAATACAAAAATTAGCTGGGTATGGTGGCACGCGCCAATAGTACCAGCTACTCAAGAAGCTGAGGTGGAAGAATCACTTGAACCTGGGAGGCGAGGTTGCAGTGAGCTGAGATTGTGCCACTGCCCTCCAGCCTGGCGAAAGAGCAAGACTCCATCTCAACAACGACAACAAAAAAGGTAGCTGGACATGGTGGCACGGGCCTGTGGTCCCAGCTACTTGGGAGGCAGAGGTGGCAGGACTGCTTGAGCCTGGGAGTTTGAGGCTGCAATGAGCTGTGTTCTCACTACTGCACTCCAGCCGGGGCAACAGAGCAAGACCCTGTCTCAAACAAACAACACACACACACACACACACACACACACACACACACACACACGCAGTTCACTATATTTTACCTGTTAGAGTGACAGAAAACAATTAGACAAGGGGTAAGTTATATATACATAATGATTTCAAAGTGCTACTGATAATAAACAACCATTAATAGTTTCAAGAAATTATAGAAAATCTGAAATATAATACTGTGTAGCTGTAAAAAATTATCTATTTATCAACACAGAAAGAGTGCCATAAATTAGGTAAAAAGTATGTTGCCTAACAGCCCATAAGTGATACTCCCCTACCCTTAAACACCCTTCAATTTCCAGAAAACACTTTATCAAAGTGTTAAAATGGTATCTCTAGGTGTGGGATGATTGTTTTCATTTGTTTCCTTTATGCTTTTCTACATTTTATGTATTTTTAAATTTTCTTTCACAGCTACTAATTCCTTTTTTTTTTTTTAAAGAGACGGTCTTGCTCTGTCATCCAGGTTCAGGCTGGTATACAGTGACAGGATCATAGCCCACTGCAGCCTGGGGCCCTTGGTCTCAAGCTACTCTCCTGCCTCAGCCTTCTCAGTAGCTGGGGCTACAGGAGCATGCCACCATACGTGGCTAATTTACAAATTTTTTTGTAGGGATGGGGTCTCCCTATGTTACCCAGACTGGTCTCAAATTCTTGGTTATTTATTCTTTGATAGCTCAAACTCAAGCAATTGTCTCACCTTAACTTCCCAAAGCACTGGGATTACAGGTGTGAGCAAGCCACCACACCTGGCACGTTCCTTTCTTTTATAATCTGCATACCGCTCACCTAGCAACGCTGTACTTTCCCCTGCATCTCCTTTAAAGCTGGTGTCAC